GCTTTCACTACATTCTTGTACATATTGTACACTATACTCATAATCCCTGCATGCGTTAACTATGTTGTACATTTTACCCTTAACCCTGCACAGTGTATGCTATGTTGTACATTATATTCCCGACTCCAGCAATGTATAAGATATTTTGTACAGTATACTCTTGACCCCTGCATTGTATATGCTGTGTTAGATGTTATACTCCTAACCCCTGTACTTTACTATACTGTACATTATACTCATATACCTGCACTGCATTGACTACGTTGTACATTATACTCCTGACCCCTGCATTGTATATGTTATGCTGTACTCAGTACTTCTGACCCCTGCACTACATATACTATGTTGTACATTATACGTCTCATCCAGCACTGCATATGCTCTGTTTTACATTATACTTTACCCCTGAACTGTATACACTATGTTTTGCATTATATTACTGACCACTGCACTGTATAAGTTATGTTACACTCCTTACCCCTTTGCTGTATACACTACAATGTACATTATACTCCTGATCCCTGCAAACCCTCTCTCTCTCTCTCTCTATATATTATAATCCTGATCCCTGCACTACCTGTACTATGTTGTACAATATACTGATAATTCCTGCACTGCATTAACGATGTAGTAAAATATACTGCTGACCCTTGCACTGAATAAGTTATGCTGTACTTTATACTCTCGACTCCGCACTGTATATGCTATGTTGTATATTTTACTGCTAGCTCCTGTGCTGTGTATGCTATGTTGTATATTATATTTCTGATCCCTGCACTGTATAGGCTTTGTTGGATGTTATACTTCTGACCTCTGCACTGTCTATGCTAAGCTGTACTTTATACTCTCAACTCCTACACAGTAGATGCTATGTTGTATATTATATTCCTGACCCCTGTATTTTATATGCTCTGTATTACATTATTCTCTTGATTCCTGCACTATATACACTATGTTGTGCATTATATTCCTGCATTGTATATGCTATGCTGTACTTTATACTCCCGACCCCTGCACTGTATAGGCTATGTTGTATATTTTACTCCTGAATCCCATATTGCCTTCGCTGCACTGTACATTATACTCCTGACCCCTGCAATAACAATAACCTTCAACCCATTAGCAGCCACAACAGGTGTTGAAGTATCAGAAGGACAGTGTCAAAGGCAAATGTGATTGCAGTATAACTGGTGTTTATCACTGTATTCTCTGCTAGAGCTGTTGAGGTGCTGCTGTTTAAATAGACTGCCCAGAATAAAAGTTGAGGCTAGCTAAACAAATACATAAATCATTTTCCCATTGAACAATACCTTCTTGGCTATGTTTCTGTCCTTATGATGAATAATTAACTTAAATTGTACCGTAGATTAATTAAATGCCTTTCATAGAATCCTGCCTATTTTAAATGAATACACTGGCCCTAGTTAAAGTATATTCTCCTCCTACACAGAGCTGTATATACCATCCTAGCGTGGCGAGGGAGGAGTAGATATTGTGTTGGTGGGGGGTATATACTGTTCTAGAGAAGAGAGGTGTATATACTATGCTGGTGGGCAGAGGGGGGTGTATATTGTGTGCTGCTGGTGGTGGGGGTATATATATTGTGCTGATCAGAATGTATTTAATGTTTGGGAGGGAAAGGATGTCTATATAGTGGGCAGCACAGTGGCTAAATGGTTAGCACCTCCGCCTGGCAGGAAAAGGGTTGTTGGTTCAAATTCCAGTCATGACACCACCCACCTGGAGTTTGCATGTTCTCCCTGTGCCTTGCATGGGTTTCCTCCAACACTCTAAAGACATGCTGGCAGGTTAATTGGATCCTGTCTAAATTGGCCCTAGTATGCGTATGTATGACTGTAAGTTAGGGACCTTACAATGTACGCCCCTTGAGGGTTAGGGACTGATGTGAATGTACAATATATATGTAAAGCGCTGCGTAAATTGACAGCACTATATAAGTACCTGAAATAAATAAATATATTATGCTGGTGATGGGGGGGATGTATATTTTGCTTTGGGATGGAGACATAGGAGGTTTATATATTTAAACCTTATGATTCTTTGGAAATTAAACAATCATTTATCTGAATTGGTTAAGCCACTTAAGGTTTCCCAGACATCGGGGTTTCTAATATGTAAGTTGCAACTTTCTTTTACAAGTCATAGCTCCAGCCATCCCCCACTTCTCTCTTCTCTTACTTGACCTATACAGATATGGACACATGGGGTGATAGAATGGAAAGTTTGCTGGTTTCTGGGGCCTCAGAGGATGTCTGTAATGGCCACTTTCAGTGCATCCCACTTTGTACATGGACCTTTCATCAGGTGAGGTGAGGCCGCCACCATACCTGTTGTTGGCATGCAGCTAGGTTCTTGTTGTTGGTTTCCTGGTACAATAGGTTCCTTTACCATTGGAGACTATTCTGTGTAGTTACCATATGGCTTCATGCAACCCTAAACTCACTGCTGATAAACTAGAGTGGACACAAGGTCTCCTCAGCTCCATCCATCCTGGCTCTGGGCACCCAACCATCACAACTTTCAGATCAGAGTATGCATAATCTGGGGAAATTCATAATGACGCCTTTTAGAATTCTATCATGGTGCAACACTGCAAGTGACGGTGCTTGTGCCCCCACGAATCTGCCAATGCCGATGCCATATTAGACACTCCTTCCTCAATGTGCTTACACCCTCCCCAGCCATTGTGCCTGTCACACTGGCAGGGGCATAGCCAAGGGGTTTTACATTAGAGGTGGGAGGAGCCTAATAGGGAACTGAGAGCCTAGTTCTCCATCAGGGCCACTTTCCTTCTGATTGACAGCATATGGCACTGGGCAGATCCATAGCTGCTATTCAGTCCAATAGTGGCTTTAGAATCCACCCACTGCCATATGCTGTCAATCACTGGAAAGGCAGACCTGATAGCAAACTAATCTAAAGCAAACTATGTATGTTCACCAACTTTGTGTTGGTCTTTATTACTACCAGTTTGCCTATCAGTGAACTGGAAATAATTATTTTAGAACAGGGGTGGACTGACCATTTGGAAACTCGGGCACTGCCCGAGGGCCCGGGGTCAGTAGGGGGCCCCATGAGATGCCCCTGGTACCTTTTTCATAGGCTTTTTTGAGTTTGGGCAAGGACACAGGGGTCCCATGATCCCCTATTGCCCGGGGTCCCCATGAGTTGTCAGTCCACCCGTTTTAGAATCTGTCACAGCCATAGTGACAGATTCTACAAGGGGCAGTATTAAAAACTGAATCTTGTGCATGTCAGTACCTGGTTTTTATAAATTAGGCACAAGCCATATTAAAGGGGCCATATCACCATTAAAGTGACAGTACTGCTTTACTAAATTCCCCTCTATGTCTCCTTGGCTCAGTACACCCAGACCATTAATATGGTTTTAAACCTCTGCCATGAACACATCCTTCTATAGTGTGCACGTTTCTCTAGAGCACTAAGTGTCTTTTCTGTCTGTCTGCTAGTCATTCCTCTGCTATATTCATGACTCACTTCTGACAGGTTTTCCTGACACCAAGAGGTAAAAAGGGGACAGATGAGTTAGTTCCAGCATGCAGCCTGTAATTGATAGCCTCAGCTTTGTTCCTGTATGCCGTGTGAAGGGGGTTTGTCCCTTCCCTCTAATCAGCTCTCACTGGGCTCTTTAGAGTGCAACCCCTGCTTTCTGAAAGCTCAGAGAAGTTGTATAAATTCTGAACTCTGAACTGATGTAGAGATGAGAATACTACAGATAAACAGGTATAACTTATGCAGAAGGATTTGTTTTATATCTGTATATCGCCTGAAGCTAATCACTTCACTGGGTATATGTAAGAGTTTAGAACCACTTTAATGCTGGGAGATCCCAAATTCTCCTTGGAAAACCATGTGTGCTGTCCGGGCTGGTTATAATGGTATAAAGGCTGGCTAGTCACAGAGGTAGGAGGACTGCCCAGGGCAGTTGGCCAGTGAAAGCAAAAAGGGTCAATATGACATCCTTACTGTATGTGCCACACATATAGACAATGAGGACCTGTCTATACTCTGACCAATGTCTGTGGACTCCCTAACCCGCCTCCTGTGATTCCCAACTGCCATATTGTCACACTCTGACACTTTTCGGTTTTTGCTGATTTTCATTCATGTCAGACAAGGGGAATTCTTTCACTGAAAAATATGATGTCATCGATATTGTTGACCTTTCCTCCTATTGACTCATGAAATGTGTGACTTTTTAAGTGGACAGGTCCACTTTAAGTCAGTGTTTTCCCAGCATGTCCACCAGGAATGATTTTCTGGTGTCCGGGGGCACTACGGCTGTAGTAATTCCAGGCCTGGAGAAGAAAGGGTCAGAGAAGCCCACGAGGATCAGTCAGAAAGCAAATATGGGATGAGTTATATACTGAGAATCCATTTGTTGTTCTTATCTGCAGCTCTTAACCATCTACCTCCATCCCATGTAAAACTGTGAAAGTTACTGAGCATTCAGCAGTCCTGATCTATAACCAGTGTGTGAGAGATAACATTGTGACTGGAGAGCTGGAAAGTGGTCTGAGATGCGGTATCGAGAAAGGGGGGCACAGTCACAGTGAGTGATAACATGAAAGCCTGCAGAATCGGACACCCATGTCCTCTGATTGCAGACCGGTGATAAAACACGGGAAGCGGAGGCCCTCTTATATAACCAACATGTTGTGCTCTTTAATTCTTTGTTCTAGAAAGTTCCAGCTCTGTAAAATTGCTGAAAAATCTGTCAGGCGGAATATACATCATCAACACTGATTGTACCAACAGCAACGATACAAAGAAAGCCACGACGGCACAAACGGTAACACAATAAAACTGTATCCCGTTTGTGTCAGGTTCGCTATGTACACATCGTCTCATGCCGATCACACAACGGGCGGGAAGCGAAAGAAAACCGCAAACAAGAAAGTCTGTACAGGATTGTGGGCGGAGCACACCCAGCGTCCAATCAGGGCTCCCGCCATTTCTCAGCGCACCTGCGCCACATAGCCTTCCTTCAGCAGCCCCTCCTCGTAGTCTGTCTGGCACAGAATCATGTTATTCTTTAGAAAAAATTTGTCCCCAACACAAAACCTGAAAGAGAAGAAAATTTGATGAGTAATAATAAAGTGACAAGAAATTCACAGACAAAAAATACAGAAAAACAAAAAACTTAGAATATTCCTACAATGAGGAGAACTGCCACATCCTGAACAGAGAAGGGAATGCTGGGAGAGAAGGGGGAGCGGCGCATATAGGTCTGGACATATAACATCCTCAGAGCCGCACAGAACTCTAGACACAGTGCTCGCATGACAGACAAACTGCCAACATGCCAGGCACACCACCCACTTGTATCTAGTCGCACCATATTAATATATATAATGCAAAATAGAGTGCAATAAAACTGCTACTCCCAATTATCCAAGCAGTTAATACAAAAAACATATAATAAAAGTGAAATACTAAAAAAAAAAGTGTCCAAAATAAAAGTCCACATGCAGTATAAAACTGAAAGTCCTTTGAAGTGCCACAAAAAAACAAACGTCCTCTGAAGTGAGGCACCATTCACCGGATCAAAATGCCTCTCATTTACATGATTGGCATATTGCGTTCAATACAATGCAGTGGGAATTGCGAATACATCATTCCTTCAAAGGTCAGGGAAAGCTCATAATACATGTAAAGAAAGAAAGCATCCCCCAATGGCGAACTATGCTAAAAAACACTGTCTTTATTTTCTTAAAATATCACTCACATTGCAACAAGGATAAACGATCATATCACAATTAGCGACACCAATTATATAGGGTAGAGCCCATTCCACCTCCTCTCACCCTGCTTGGGTCCTATGGCAAAGTTGGAAGGACGAAACGTGTTGGAGCATGGCTACATGGCAACCAGAAGTGACATCCCATCCGGAACCAGAAGTGATGTTTTGGAGTGGTGGAGAGGTCTGGGCAGGGTGAGAAGAGGTGGAATTATGAGAGCCGTTTTGACCCACTGAGTGCATACAACAGGGAGTGGTGTCTCATAGTTCATGTGGTGATCACCGGATTCACTTTTCAGGACGTTGGGTTTTTTGTGGCACATCAGAGGACTTTCAGTTTTATAATGTGGACTTTTATTTTTGTCACTTTTTTTAACATTTCACTTTTATTATATATGCTTTTTTTATGTAGCACAGCTCTTCTTGGAAGTTGGGAGTTGTAGTTTATTGCACTTTTTATTTTTCACTATTACATTTTGATATTTAGAGCAGCAGCAGTGATGGTGTGACATCTGTGTAGTTTTAGTTGTTTAACTGTTTTATGTGTTTACCTCCTGAGCGCAGGGTGAGGTGGATGGGCATTAATATATACACAATCTAAAGCACACACCAATTTCCTAAATCATATTGCTGTTCAGTGCTTGACTCCCATTTCTTCAGCTAAATTATTTTTCTCCTGCCTTTTCACTAAAGTTTGATCTGTGAAATATAATGGTATCAGATGGAAACCTGATCTTTTGTGACTATCACTTGTCCTCTCTGTCTGCTGTTTTCTTTTAATAGCCAGTGCAGGCGCTCTCCAAAAATTTCAAATAAAGGCAAATTTTCTTGCAAGATTAAGTTATGATATGGCAGTGGATGTTGCCCAGGGGAGGGAGCCGCCTTTAGGCTCCATGTACACTGGCTAAAAAAACGCAAGTGCTCTTGGCAGAAAAAAAATGCTAATTTTGAGTTTTTTTTGTACTAGCATTTAGGAGCATCCAGCATTTTTTTCTGTCTCTTAACCACTTTCTGTCCGGCCCATGTATATAAACGGCCGGACGGGAGCAGTGCAGGAGCGGGTTACTGTTCATAAACGGCGCCTGCCATTTTAGCCTGTGCGCGCTCCCTGGGAGCGTGCAGCACTGCGATCCAGTGCCTGCTGTGTCCTCCAGACACAATGGAACACCGATCGCTGTACGGGACTTCTGTGTGAGGTCCCAATCATGTGATCACTGATTGGCCAATCAGTGATCACATTAATAGTAGTAAGCAAGATGTCACTTCCTGACATCATTCCTTACTACATGTGAAATCTGTAAATGATCACAGAGGGCACATGGTACAGGGCTATTCACAACAGCCTTGTACCATGTGACAAGCTGTGACCAATCACAGCTCACACAGTATTTCTCAATGGCTGCAAAAATGCAGCCAGAGAGAAAGATACATTTTTGTTTTTACAGCCTTTATGGGTGTAAAAGCACTCAGTGTAAAAAAAAAAAAAAATCTTCATCGCCCCCACACAAGTAGTAAGTACAGTGTCACTATGGTGACAGTATACTGCTAGGGTGACAGTATGCTAAAAAAAACCCAAATAATAATATAAAAAAATTTAATAAAAATGTAAAAAATGTTTTTGAAAACTTATAATTTTTGGTTATAAACAAATTTGGGTTATTTTTTTTTACTAAAAAGATAGCTGAATACATTTTGGCCAAGATTTATGAAGAAAGATTATTTATTTGCAAAATTTTATAAGAAAAGCACTTTTTTAAAAATTTTTTGGACTTTTTCATTTATATAGCAAAAAAAAAAAAAAATCCCAGTGGTGAAGAAATACCACCAAAATAAAGTTTTTTCTGTCTCATAAACATGCTAAAAAATGAATATGGGTACAGTGTTACATGACCGCGCAATTGTCATTCAAAGTGTGACAGCGCTGAAAGCTGAAAATTGGCCTGAACAGGAAGGGGATAAAAATGTCTGGACTTGAAGTGGTTAAAAATGCCTCTAGACTACCTAATGTGCATGCACACATGGGATAACATTAGTTGCTTCTTCAGACAAAACTCCTCTAGGAGCAGTGTTTTTTTAAGCCAGTGAGCATGGAGCCTTAAGGAATTTGAGTATAAAGTATAATGGAAAGCGGATGGGATCATCTGTGTGAATAAGACCCTACCTTTGTGGTTCAAATAGTCTGAACCAATCTGGGGGATTTGTAACAATAAATGGTCATGTGAAGAAGCATTCTGAACCATGTTAAGGGGCACTCCAGATCAGGGACCCCTGTGGGGGTATATGGGAAAAATAACGGCTCTCACACATTTAAGAAAGTTGGATTCCAAAATGTTTCTCAGATATCAAACTTTTGTTCGGGATGGTGACTCGGCCTTCTTTTGTAGGAATGGGTTTGTGCTCATTGCGCCCAGCACTCATAATGGTGGATCCCACAGCAGGCCAGTTCAGCTGCATTAGCAGGAAAAGTATTTTCTGTAATTAAACCCTAAAGTGAGAGGTGACGGAGCTGCGCACAAAGGTGCTCACAACGTGCCAGATAATTATGTGCCACCACACAAACAATCATTTCACAGTGATTTGGCAGCTTTAAAATCTGGCCCACAATTTGCATCCAGGAAAAATGGCGGCATTTACAGTGACGGCTGACACAGACAGAGCCGCGTCTGTCTTAATTGTAACAGATTAACCTCAGAGTGGCCGCATCTGACCTACAGGGAATGCACATAATTGCACCATGTGGACTTTCATAGTGGTGGCTCACTAACCCACAGTAGATTGGCGGTGCTGAGGCTGCAATCAGGGAATTGTCACGCAGATTACAGAGAGTTTGGAAATCGGCTTTTATGGAGCCTTCAGAAGGAGATTTACATTTCTAAAGGCATGAACAATGGCGCCATTTACTTTCCAAGGAAGCTTCCATGAAGACAGCAAAGAACAGCGTGCCGGAAAAGAACTGAAAAGGATTTAAATTGTTCGTCTTTATTGTGTGATGTGCAGCTCAGAAACTCGTCCTGATTACCTTCAATTGGGCTGCAGCAAATCCCAAATATCACCACACAAACTGCCAGATGTAATGATGAAACGAGAAATAAAATCTGCCAACAAATAGAAAAGCCAAATCCCAGAATTCTGTGTGCAGAGCAGAGGCTTTTCCTGCTATTTATGGATTTGTGAGCCTCCATTAGCTGCCACTTTAGGCTAATAGCTTCTTCTGCAGTGACAATTGTCAGTGCTCTTCAATAGGGTTACCATACAGGAAGACGGTGGTGCTCGTGAAATATCATCCTCCGTTATTACACTTTCACTACAGACCAGTTCAGAACATCCCCACAAATACTTTAATAGTTACAAAAGACAAAAAGTGTCTAATTTGCTTCTTATGAGTATTCTATGTTTACGAGTGAAGACACACACCATGCACACACTATGTCTACAGAATAGCCTGGGCAGGGGTGGAAGTACATAGGGGTGACATTGGGTAAAGCAGGCCATAAATTATGCAATTTTCTTTCCTTCAGCCACAAGTTGAAGGAAATAAAATTGCTCAATTCCCCCCATCAACACAGTCAATGTTGATGGGGAATCCCTCCCACAGTGCTATTGTGTTCTACTGGCAGGGAGCACAGGAGCCTTCCCCACTGGAAGAATACAATACTAACTGCTGGTATCTATAGCCATTGGCATTGATTGGGAAAAAAAAAAAACTTGACAGGCTGGTTGTACCGAAGTCGATTGGTAGATTGACTTCGGTACAACCAGCCTACCCATAGATGGATTGAAATTCGACCAGTTCCAGCCAAACTTTCGATCCATAGATTGTAAGCTCTAAAGAACAGAGCCCTCTGTTTCCTCCTGTACCAAATTGTATTATAACTGTAATTTCTACCTTCATTTTGTAACACGCTGAGCAAACTGTTGGCATTATATAAATCCTGTATAATAATAATAATAATTTATACCTGGTTTAAGGCTGGCCCTTGATAAAGATGTCAACGACTAGGGATAGCACTGAGTAAGGTTTGTGCTTGATGAGGATGATTGGTTAGGGGTGACACTAGGTAAGTTTGCTGCTGGGTAGGGATGACACTGGTTACAGGACAGGTGGCACTGGGTAAGGTTGGTGCAGAGTAGAGATGACAGTGGTTAGGGGTGACACTGGTAAGGCTGGGGCAAGGTAGGGATGACACTGGTTACAGGACAGGTGGCACTGGGCAAGGTTGGTACCGAGTAGAGATCACAGTGGTTAATGGTGACACAGGGTAAGGTTGCTGCCGGTCACCGATGACAGTGGTTAGGGGTGACACTGGTAAGGTTGGCGAGATAGGGATGACATTGGTTACAGGACAGGTCTCACTGGGTGAGGTTGGTACCGAGTAGAGATGACAGTGGTTAATGATGACACTGGGTAAGGTTGCTGCTGGTCACCGATGACAGTGGTTGGGGTTGACACTGGTAAGGTTGGCAAGGTAGGGATGACACTGGTTACAGGTCAGGTGGCACTGGGTAAGGCTGGTACCGAGTAGAGATGACAGTGGTTACTGGTGGCACTGATGACAGTGGTTACTGGTGACACTGGGTAAGGTTGCTGCTGGTCACCGATGACAGTGGTTAGGGGTAACAATGGGTAGAGATGGCACTAGGTAAGGGTGAAATTGGTTAGGTGTGACACTGGGTAAGGTTGGCACTGGGCAGAGGTGAGATTGCTGCTTCTAAACTATGTGGTGGTCAGAAGGCCATAGTGGAGAAGTACACTTAGGCCATTGGCAGTCCAATGTACGATCCTCCCCTTCCCCTCCCATGTCACTGTGTCACTGTGTGGAGCTACCTAATGCCAGAACAAATGCTTCTTTTGGGTGAAAAGATTACAAACAGACATACCAGACCATACAGTGCACAGGGACCTCAGGCACACAACAGACCATGTGTACAGAGGCCTCCAACACAGTGGAGACCAACAACGGTTGGCTGCCCAGGGGTATCGTATGTACTCTCCAGCGCCTCAGGAAATGCACAGCCAAAAGGGAAGCCAAGGGAATCAGGACAGCAACAACTAAATGAAATGCTTCAGGGTGCAGCCCTCCTCAGACGTGGGGCACACACCTAGTGCATTATCCAAGGTTAATTGAAAGGTATAAAAGGTAAAAACATACTCACAGACGAAGCATGTATCTAAAAAGCATTTGCATAATGACGATGGCCACAACGGCAAGCAAGGTGTTCCAACTGTCAGTGCGGTCAAAAGGCTGACGCGTTTCGGGGACGAATCCCTTTTCTCAGAGCTACTGACCAGCCTGTATGAAGGTCAAGCGGTAAATAACCATGGCTAGATGCCTTGGGAGCAGAGCTCCACCTCCTCTACTTGTTATAGGGCGAGGAGTTGGAGGGGGTTATTTAAAGTGCAATATTTGGTAATTTTCAATAACGCATATAAATATACACATATATACAAATTACCATATATGTATATGTGTATGTGCATGTGTGTATACATATATATATATGCGTTTATAGAAATAAACCTTGGATAATGCACTAGGTGTGTGCGCCACCTGTTTATTCTCTATCTGGCTGCCCAGGGGTCTTATAATGGCTTAGATCCCCAGATATTAATGGCTGAACATTGAGCCACATCATTGGATTTGTATATTGTGTTTTGGGTTTCAGATTTTCCAGTCCAAACATATAGTACGGCCCACCACAGACATTTCCACTCACAGAGCATCCAAATGTCTCTGCTAATCCATCAGAAGAACATCGCTCTGCTGTGTCCGGTCACCATTTATGAAACAGACAGACGATGAGCAGATGCTAATTGCGCAGAACCAACTAGAGCCGCAGCTCCATTACAGAGCGCCAGCGAAGGATTCATTCTAATGAGAGTCATACATCTCCAGTCCACAATTTAACGCTGGATCTGGAATCTGATTGGACTGTCAGTATTTCTCCAGCAGTGGTGAGTGGAGCTCCACATGATGCCTCCTATAAGCTACTCACATTCTCCGATAACGGGATTCTCTCAGGATCTGAGAAAAAACAATTGTGTCTATGGGACAGGTTGTAAATACTGTATGGAGTTGTGTATGTTCCCTCTATATAGGATATTGTGTTTTGATGCTCTCTGCCATGCTGTCTCTCAATAACCTAACCGCATCCACTCATACATTTTAGATGCCATGATCCTCTGTTACTAGATGAAGTGGAGGATTTGCCTGGTACATCTGACCCCATATGCCCAAGATTTTCAGGGGCAATTACTAAAAGTTTAGCAATGTTTATAAAGTGAACCAACCTCTGATTACACAGCTGACAGGCAAAGCAGTCCAGATGGTAGACATTGTCCTTCGCCCGCATCACCATCTCGAAGGCTGGAATTAGTTTGCTGCACGCCGCGCAATTTCCCGTCACCCCGAATAACCTGAAGGGGAAAAAGAAGTGGTCATTGAAGAAGTCCAGATCTGACATAATGATCTGTTCAAAATATGTCATCAGATTTTTATAACTGGTAGGTGAGCGGGGGCTGGGGAGTCATGGAATAAAGTACAATAGAAAGCACAGTATGACATATGACATGATATAATACCATATAGAGAGTATCACATGATATAGAACACAGTATAGAGAGTATAGTATATAAATAATAAGGTATAGAGAATTTATAATAATGTATAGAGAGTAAAGTATGATATATAACATGGTACCTAAACACCTAAAGAGGGTAGGGATAGGGGGTGGTAAAACCGTAGGATTTTACTGCCCCCTAACGTCACATGTGAATGAGCCCTAAGAGTGCCGCTGCTGGAAACAACTAAGGGCTCATCCATAAGTGCAGCAGACATTGCTGCTCCTCTGCAAAGTGATCCAAGTGTGTTTGACAGGTGGTGAGGAGGTGATATGTTGTCTCCTCACCACCTAATTTAAACCAATGATTGCCATGCAATGCACACAATTGTGACACGGTAGAGGTTTAAATCAGGAGTGAGAAGGTGACACTGGCCGAAACTATGCCCGGAGATCTTTGACTTCTCCCATGTTGTTCAGGTAGATCTCCACCTATTTAAAGTTGCCTACCCCTGATATAGAGTGTATATCTCAAAGTACAGAGAGTATAGTATGATATGCAAATCTCTATAAAGAGTATATGCAATGTATAGAGAGTATAGTATGGCATAATACAGTATAGAGAGTATATAACATTGTATACAGAATATAGTATGATTTATAACACAATAGAATATAGTATGATATAGAACACAGTATAGCAAGTATTATTATATATATATATATATATATATATATATATATATATATATATATTGATGTATAACAGTAGTGAGAGAATAATATAATTTGTAACATGATATAAAGTGCATATAACAATGTATAGGGAGTATAGTATGATTTAGAACATGGTATAGAGAGTATATAACAATGTGCAGTGACTATTGTATGGCATATAACACAATGTAACACAATGTATGGATACAGTATAAGGCGTATATATACAGTAACTATGTATAGAGAGTATAGTATGACATATTACACAGTATAGAGAATATTTACCATTGTATAGGGAATATGGGATAATATATGATGCAGTAGAATATAGTATGATATAGAACACAGTATAGAGAGCATTTTTAAACACAGCATACATTATAATATGATCTATAACAGTATAGAAAGTATAATTTGATATAGAATACAGTTTAGAGCATATGGTATGATAGAGAACATGGTATAGAGAGTACAGAACACTGCATAGAGAGTATAGTATTCTATAAAACATAGTGGAGTATAGTATGATATAGAACACAGTTCAAAGAGCATATAACATCGATATTGGGAGGAGGTGGTGGTTACACTTAATGGGCTTTTACTGTAGAGATGAATCTATCCATAGATCCACTCATATGTCTATTGGGTTACAATGACTCTTTCTCTTCAGAGCCACCTTTGCTGACCACTGTGGCACGTGCTCTCTTTGTGGCCTATAGACAAATTGCTCTAAGTGGACCTTTCCATTTCCCCCAACCTTATCTGATGTTAACAAATGTATCTCCTATGAAAGAAATACCTACTTCCTAAGGCCCCATTCACACCTGAGCGGTTTGTAGCGTGAAGCTTGAAGCTCCAAAACGCTCGGGGAAAAAAAAAAAAAATCAATATTACCCTATGGAGATAGTTCTTATCTCCACTCCAAGTCGCCTGAAGCAGAACACCTGAAACTCTACTTTTGTAGCTCAAATTGGGCAGATTTGCATTTTTATTCTCATAAAAAAGAATAAAAATGTGCGTTTGGTGTGGTTTTGCGTGCTTTCGCATGTTTTAACACGTGTTTTTTCTGCTCAAATGAAAATATGTTAAAAAATATTGTAATAATATATGAATAAATAAATGTAAAACAAATAAAATAAATACACATATAAATAAAAAATCATGTTAAATAATAAATAAATAATAATTAACCCCTAACCTTAAAAAAAAAATATTAATAATAATAATAGTCACCCGAACCAAAAATACATTATTAATATTAATAATAATACATTATTGTTATTATTTCATAACTTTTTTAAGGCTATGGGTTAATTATTATTAGTTTATTACAAGTATTTATTTATGATTATTTGTATTTATTTGTGTATTTATTTTAAATGTATTTATAAAATTATTATTATTAATAATGTATTTTTGTTCGGGTTTAGGTGTTTATTATTATCCGGTTTCCTCCTACACTACAAAGACATGCTAGGAGGTTAATTGGCTCCTGTCTAAATTGCCCTAGTATGTTTATGTATGAATGTGAGTTAAGGGCCTTATATTGAGGGTTAGGGACTGATGTGAATGTGCAATACTGTACATGTAAAGTGCTGTGTAAATTGATGGTGCTATATAAGTATCTTTAATAAATAAATAAAACAAAATACCCAAAACAAATGTATTCGGGAATGTGAGTTTTCGCAATCTGGATATGTGAATGGGGCATGACCAGGGGCGGACTAACCATTTAGAAACTCGGGCACTTCCCGAGGGCCCAGGGTCAGTAGGGGGCCCCATGAGATGCCCCTGGTACCTTTTTCATAGGCTTTTTTGAGTTTGGGCAAGGACACAGGGGCCCCATGATCCCCTATTGCCCGGTGGCCCCATGAGTTGTCAGTCCGCCCCTGGGCCTCACAACTCAGTGTCTCCATCCACTCCCACCTATGTACTTGCATAAAGATAGCCATACACTATGCAATCTGATTGTATAATGTCTGTACAATTTCCTTAAGAGTTAAAAGAACTATGGAATGGGAGGACACACCTGAACAATATATTCAATTTGTATCAAATCAGACAGGTCCTCATACTACACAGCTGATGGTAGTTCTAAAGGAGACACAATCTGATTGTATAGAAAGTGGGTGAAAGGTGTGGTCCAGAGTGGTGTAAAGTGCTGTGTAAATTGATGGCGCTATACAAGTACCTGAAATAAATAAATAAATAAATAATAATTAAACAAAAATTGATCTTTCTGGTAACTAAGAACATTTTTCCAACAAATCTCTTTAGCATTTTTCATCTAAACAGTTGACATTGGCTCTCAAAAGCAGTATACTAATGAATAGAAAATTGAACAATCGTTCCAAATCCAGATATTTTCATCCGATTTTCTAATAACGTGTATTAGGCTTAAGACGTTTTTGTTGGAAAGTCTATCCATCTCTGGGCAGCTTTAGCGATTTGGCTTTGACGTTGATCCTTATCTAGCATTAGACAATAGTGTGCCGGTGTATCATTGTACAGAATCTCCAAAATGAAGCTGGGACCGCTGCAAGGCCAGCACAGCCTGCATCTGTGTAAACAAGGGTTTGTTCACAGTGTGGGCATTGCACTATATTGTCCAACACCGTCATAATGCAAGGACAGTAGAACACGCCGGGGGTCATTCACAGCAATATGCTGCTTTGTCATGTGCTTAGGGGACGTCTTCACCAGCTGCATTTAACAAAAGTACAATGTATGGCAATGTGCCATTGTGTGCCATATGAAGACACAGAGCACGTTGCTTTTTTTCTCCAGGTGTGACCTGACATAAAACGCATTCATCCCATAGATATGAAAAATGCAGTAAAGCAGCACAATGAAGGAAGCTGTTACAATATAAGTTAAATATGAAAAGCCGTTAGCTAGACACAATGCGCACAGAACGCTGATCTGTAAACACCTAATCAGGGATGGACTGACCATTTGGAAACTCGAGCACTGCCCGAGGGCCCGGGGTCAGTAGGGGGCCCCATGAGATGCCCCTGGTACCTTTTTCATAGGCTTTTTTGAGATTGGGCAAGGACACAGGGGCCCCATGATTCCCTATTGCCCGGGGGGCCCCCAAGATTTGTCAGTCCGCCCCTGCACCTAATGTAAGTCAGTAACAGGCGCCAAATAAAACCCACACACTACAACAGTGGCCAACGTATGGGGGAACACAGCATAGGTATGCTGGAAACAATCATCATGAAGAGCTTTGCAAAAGCACAATGATATGAATGTGCACAAGTCAAAGGAAATGTTCTCTGTCTTCAGTCATGTTTTAAAATGTACTTTCACATTTGTCTCAAGGTGGTTTTAGGTTTGTATACAGTATGTAGTAATAAGTAATGCAGCCAAGGGAGACATTACCTGTGTGAGATGCTGCACAGAAATGCCCGTAGCGAATAGGGAAGAATGGAAATAGCGCAGGGCATACATGACTAGGCCCAGAGTGGTGTAGGGAACGAAAAGGGTTAAATTTAGCTCCAGGGGGTGGGGAATTGGTTGGGGAATTACAGGATTGGCAGATGTGGAGTGTAGGAGGGGTCTTTGGCACCTTAGGGTGCGGGTTCTGCGGAAGGGGCGTCAGTGGAGCTGGACGTGTGCAAGGACCAGAGCTTCATGTGAGCTTGGTCCTGAAATTCCCCCCCCTTTTCTGACCTGCGGCTTGGAGGACATTGTGGCACAGCTGCGGGCGGCGGCGGGAGAACGAGGTATGGACTGGTTGCAGGGCCGGGTCTCTGATCTGTTGGGAGACCCGGGCTTGTCACCAGCAGCAGGGGGGCGGGTGCGCCCACGTGCTCGGAGGTCTAGGCCTCCGGAGCGCTTCAGTCCGGCCCCGCCCCCTGTTGGAGCTCAGCGCCACAATGGGAGCCCCCCCTCCGGCCCCGCTGGCAGGGCGCTCACTTGCCTCTGCTGGCGGAGGTGCCAGGAGGAATCCCCGGCGATGGGCCCCTCCCCCCCGCCCGCACGGCAAGGAGGAAGCAGAGTGAGCTCGGCGGGCGGGGTTTCGCGGGGTAGTCCCTCCCCCCCGCCCGCACGGCGCAGAGGAGGCAGAATGAGCACGG